CTTCAGTTGGCTGTGTTTTGCTTTCAGTTTTCCCCTTTTCGGCTTGCATACAGACTGCTGCCACGCCGGCCGGCTAGGTCGCTCTGTAAGTAAGGCTCTTCCCTATTAAATACCCTTATACTTCTACTTGGCTCTGTATTGGTAATTTCCCACTATAGGGGAGATATAAGTATATGGAGCACAAGTCTAATTAAAAAAGGAAACAGAAATACTTGTTTATTCTGTTGAATATTTTTATCAAAGGAATGTGTGTGAGAGAAAGAGGGGGAGCATGTGAATTGTAGAGACCATTCCTTGTGGTCATTCAATTGTTGATCCTTATTTTTATGTATTATAAATTTTGAAATATTTTAATAAAAAAGAGGGTTATTTTTCTTGTAGATTAAGTAAATATATTTCATAAAGATATGAAGCTTTATAGCATTTTAATATGTCCCTCTTTTGAAAACAGCCTTCATAAACACTCAGGGTGAACTGGTAGTTATGAAAGTGTTGAGCACTTATTATTAAAATACAAATTATTGGAATATGGTGACAAAGATAAAACCCGACTCCAGGGCATATGTACCTTTTAATGTCATTAAAATCATCTCTCTTTGAAAATGATTATCCCCTAAGATTAAAACATGAATTAACTCTCATTAATCAAACTTTTGTCCAAAAGACACAGCAGAACATATTTTATTGGCAGATTTGTGTGTTTTATTTCTCTAGGTATAGTGGTCTGCCAAAGCACTAATAATGCAAATATGTGTTTGAATACAAATAATCCCTAGAAAGTTGGCATTGATTATTAATGGAATTAATTTTCTGGCTTCCCAGTACAGCTACAGCAGTTCGGGACAGTAGTTAATAAAGAAAGAGTCAACTTTTTAAATTAGTACACTTAATAATACAAATTAACTCCACAATACAAAGAATATATAAGAATACACTGCAGGAATAATATCTCCTCTTTTACATAAGGAGAGGCTTTCCTGTGAGACAATCTTCCTGTCACTTTCGAACAGGACACAAGAGACCACTGCATCTGAGGAGACCTGTCACTTTCCTAAAACTAGAAGCTCAGATTATTTACACTATATGAGTGGTCGGCCTGAAGCTTGCCTTCACAAGGACCCCAATAATAGAAACTACTGTGATGTCCTTTGAGACTTCAATAGATATGTCTTTGCAGAGGGAATATTTTAGAGCTGAGTCATTTCCGTAATGCTTTGATGCAGTCATTTGGTGAGTTCACAGTGAAATAAAACTGTTAATCAAGATGCAGAGAAAGGATGTCAGTTTCCCCACAACTCACAACCTCAGGGAGACTCTAAGAAGTCTTCCCTAAAAACCATACAGATTCCATAGAGACCAGTTTAAGAATATAATACTTTTAGAGGAAATGGGTATATGCATGAAAAGTTAATCTGAGTGTATTTATTACTTGCTTTGCATTTCTATAACAAAATCCCAGAGATAGTTATAAGTTTATATACCTTACATTTTGGGATATGCTATCATTCAATCAAGTATCTATGTTGCTTTGGGCATATGACTGGATTAACTGGGTGGCAAGAGCTGAGAAAATAGGACAAAGCAAAACCATTTACAAAACCATTTACATCCTGAACCATGAAGCAAGAGTAGCAAGGGAAGGGTGCCTGGGATCCCACAATCGAGTGGGAGTTCTGTCCCCAGTGACCTTAGGACCTTCCATTAGTTAAGCATTCCTGAAGAT